AACAGTTGAGAGAATTTGGTTTAAGATCAAAGCATTCTCCCTTTGTTAATCAATTACCTTTACGCTTGGTCATCTGCTGATGTTGTCGGGAGAAAATTGATGTTGGTCTAAATGGTTAAAATCAGTAACTTAACTTTACCAGGTTTTAGAGTGATTTAAACAAAACCAACGAAGATATTATAGTTCCGCAACATCTCGAAATTTACAGACGTTTGTTTAGTGTGAGGCAACTTCGTGAGCTTCAGTCACTATACAAACGTCTGGAAAATTTCGCGACATTGTGGTGCAATATATCCGCTGGCCTTGAACTTTAATAAATAATAGCATTTATACACACGATACATTTATTTATACACGATAAAACAGTATGGCAAAGCTGATGTGCTTGTGTTAAAACTAAACATGATATCAGAGTTATTAAAACAATCAGCAAGACTATTTAAAATAAAATTTACTTAAATTTACTTAAAAAGCCGACTCTAAACTTTAATGGTGCACTTTCCAGAGGTGTCGATGTATATTCGCTTACTGTTCTTTTCCCAGTAAAACTTGAAACAAACCGTGGAAGAGTCTGTTTTAGCACTAATATGTCCTGCGTATGTTGAACCCGGGATGTTGAATTACATTTTATGGTCTTTTTCAGTGCAGGTTTCTTTCTTTCATTCGCGGAAATAGATGAATTTCCTTTCTGTACAAAGCTGTACAAGGAAGGTTAGAAATGTTTGAGTGCCTTCTCAGTCATCGTTTAGAAATATGTGTCATCTTGAATGTTCAACTACTAATTGAGAGCCTGGCGTAAATATCTACATTGTCGTAACTCCATCCAGTCATCATTAATTGGACAGCTCTCCTCTTGGGAAACGCTTTTCTTTTCCCCTTTCCAATGGCGTTTTGCGACCTCACTCATTCTGTTTGTTCCAGTTTTCCACTGAGAGGCAGCGAAAATGTCTGGAAGTGAAACCGCCAAACTGGAACTGCTACTTAAACTGGATAAGGTACTGCTTCTGGAGAGAGCTGACATCGGGCGTTCATCATCCGCTGACAAAAACGACGAAGCAGACAATAATCGTTGTTGTTTGTTGCTTTCGTCTGATTTTCTTCTCAAGTTAGGTGAAGATTCCCTCAAAGACGACTGTCGTTGTAACATATGTTCCCGTTTCTTCAGGAATAATCTTTGTTCTGAGTTCCTTTGCTTCTGAATCTGGCGAGTTTCCTTGCTGAGTGTTGTTGCATCGATTGCATTTCGAACAAGAAGTGTTTTTGCGGTGTTTTTTGATAAAAGACTCACCGGCTCCTCTTTACCTGGTTTCATGTCGCTGATCGCAATTAATGAAACCCTGGCCCACAAGTTCACGTTACTTAAACACGGTACTTCAGTTCAAACAATGACGACATCGCGAAATTGTTCGTCATCATAATATGTAATATTGGCTTATCGTCCTGTGTAATAGCCCTGAGGCAACCAAGTACAGATTAGCTTGTTTGCTTGTTTCTAAATTTGCTTTTTCCACCTTGTAATTTTTGGTTGATGAAATGAGTTAGACATTTCACTTCATTTAAAACTGACAAAGGTAAAATAATCGTTGAATAAAGATGGCAGTTGGTAATTTCAAATCAGATAAATCAAATCTTTATCACAACACTATGGTACCAATATCAGTAAACGATAGAATGAGGCGATCAATAGATGATTGTTTAGCATAACGCGAGATCGTTGTGTGAGGTTATAACAACGACGAATAAACAGTTCTTAATGGAGCAAGAATTAAAATAAAAAGTTAACTTTTACATACAAGTTGCGACTATGGCATTGTTTCGGGACCTTGTTTTTGCTATAAGACAACATTTCGTTGATACATTAAAAGGTTAAACTAATAGCTTTGGACCCGTAAGAATTAGACACTTAAATTCAAATAGGAAAATATTTCTGGGCATCAAATCTTTATCACTAAGGTTGTACCAGTATTGCGTGAATGAGTGAATGAACTGTAAGGGAACAATGAACGATCTGCTACCATTTGCGGTAGATTAACCCATATGTTGGAATCTTTCCCATATTGGATAAATCCAACGAAAAAACAGTTACAATGAAAAGGGAGCAAGACTAGTATATCTTCTCAGTTAAAGCACGCGCACCTTTTACAAAAAAGTTTTGGTACTTTCGAACTTATTTGGGACAAACAGGAAACGTTTTAGGTTTCTTACAGGTTGCCTTAATTTTTCAGTTTACGGCAATGACTTCGCGGTTTTTATTTATAGCGACAAAAGCGGAGCACTAACGTCAATGCTGACATTCGCGGCTTCCTTTACTGGCGATGATCACATTGTCTTGAAACGTTGCTTTACATATTTTTGCTATAAGTGGAAACTTTTAATATTTCTAGTAATTTCTTTTCAGTCATTGTTTCTGCAGTCTGTTGTTTTCGCCGACCCAAGAAGGCTTTCGGGCCCAGCAGCCATGTCACCCCTAGGTTCTTTGTTGCTATAGAAATAAGTCGCGAAGATAGAAATTTTGGGCGTTCTTAAAGGTTGATTTTCACTGACGCGTTTTTGGCTGCGAACGTTAACGCACGTAGATTTTAATCACGTAAATAAAATAGAGGCAAGATAAAAAGTGCTGTGCTTAAATGAGAGGTTGAGCGAGGTTGAACTTTTAGGCTGCGTGCGAACGGACGCAACAACTCCCAACATTGTTGCGTCCGTGTTGGCAGTGTTGTGCAAACGGATGCAACAACTTCAAACAATGTTGGAACCTGCAGTGCATCGTGGGAAGGATACAACCCACAAGTCTTTGTAAACCATGCGTAATGAGCGTGCGTGGCCCCAACAATGTTGGAAGAGTTGTGCAAACGGATCCAACATTGTTGCGCTACGCTTCGGCGGTCACGGAACCAAAGAAATGTTGGGAGTTGTTGGCTGAAAAGTTTGACCGGTTTCAAACTTTGCGCAACAACACGCAACAACATCCAACAACATGCAACAGGGTGTCCAAACGGACGCAGCATGTAACATCCAACAATGTTGCGTTCGTTTGCATGGGGCTTAACGCTTAGGAGCGACCTTTCATGCATTGCCTCTATTTTTTTTGCGAACGTAAATTTTACGCACGTGCGCAACGGAAAAATTACGCGACACTGGAAATCAACCCTTATTGCAGCAGAATTAACTGACTACCACAGTGTTAGCCTTTTCCACGCCTTGGGATAGTAGGGACAGCGCAAAGAAAACTGAGCTCTCCATTTTACGCCCTCACTTGTCCGCTATCCGAACGCCTGAAACAGGCTACCACAATGTGCAAGAGTACCTCATGCATTTCACATGTCATTTTAGGAAGGATTCCCTCAAGTTCATTGGTCCGGTCAAGAGGCTAACAACAATATTTTAATCATGGATCTTCTTGGAGCTAACTTAGATCAACTGCTACAAAAGGAGTCGGGCAAGTTTAGCTTGAAGACCGTGATACAGCTGGCAGATCAGATGATATGCAGGATAAAGTTTGTTCACGACAACGGCTATTTACATCGTGATATCAAGCCTGAGAACTTTCTGATGGGTAGACGTGACAACGCCCGCAAGGTAGGCTTAACCCTTTAAGGCCCTGGGGCCCGTTTCTCGAAAGTCCCGATAATTAACGGGCCCGGTAAGCTGTCTCCGTTCACATTAAAGATCGAGGTTTCAGTAGTTTTGCATCCAGCACGATAAAACTGTCAGTTAATGAAACAAAATGGAGTAGTTTGCTAGCCAGGACCCGCGCTCTTATTCTTTATATTTCGATTTGAATATTTGATTTCGGGCCCGTAAAGTTACCGGGACTTTCGAGAAACGGGCCCCTGTTTACAAGGAGGGAGGGTAACCCTGGTGCAACGGTTTCCCTGGCAAGAGGGTTAGCCTAGCACTCTCACAATTCTTCTTTTTCTTTTACACGACGTGTTCACAAGGCAGGTAGGGTTACCCTAGCGCTAAGTTAACCCTACCTGAGTGCTAGGGTTACCCTAGCAAGAGGGTTACCCTAAATGCCTTGTAAACGCTCCGCCAGGGATAACTCGCCTACCCGGGAGAACTTTCCTCCGTTATATGTGACCACTAATCTTGACAATTTGAAGGAATTATCCAATTTCTGAGCTAGATTATATATAAACATCGGAACAATATAAGGTATTTTCTGTATATAATCATAATATTTTCCCGTTTTTTCGCGAACTTAACGTCTTTTCCATAGAGAACTTTAAGTTTTATTTCACATCTTGGACGTTACACTGAATGTCACGCAAACAAACACGTCAATAAAGCTGGTAAAGTTGACCCGGGTGATAGGGTAAACCTACCTGTGAAATTTGCTTGTAAACCAGAGCTAACTTTAACCCGCTTGCTAGGTTAATCCTAGCACAAGGGTAACCCTGTCTCCTTGTAAACAGTGACCAACTTCAATTTTCTCCTAATGATATCCATACATTGTCAAGAAATTAGGTTATGAGAATTAATAAAATGATCACCCAAGAGAAAATGTTTCGATCTTTTATCAAATTCTCTCAACCCATTCTTTAAGGAAATATATAGAGATCAGTTTGAAGAATTTGTATGTGTATATTGGGGCTTAAAGGGTTAATGACTTTTTTACATGTTTGACACTAAGGGATATACATAGTTTGTAATGGTTTCAAATCTAAGTCTGTGTTCACACTCTGATCGATAGCTTTTTGCGCCGGCGCGAAAACCGTACCAGATAAGGCTTCCGTTCACACATAAAAACGGTGATTTTGGCGCGAATTTCTGTGACGGAGCGAGGCTACGCCGCGCCGATCTCTAAGGTGGAAAATCACATATCGGATAGATGTTCATACTATGCTGGGTAGCTTTTTGTGTCCGCACGAGGCAAACGAAAAACAATGGCAATTTTTTTTTCGTTTTAATAGCTATTTGAGCGCAGGGTAAGCGTTGATAAATTTTTCAGTCATTGATCGCGCGTTGTTTTGGAATATATCTTTGATTGCCAATTTGAGCCACTTAAATGGGCTACATTTTGTGAAAGTGTCGTAGCGAAAAACAAAATAATCACTCTTACAGAAACGGTCTCAGAGAAAACCTCTTGGAATCACGTTGTAAGCAAGGCAGAGTCCAAGACACCGAGCAGGCTTGCTTATTAAGTCAACCATAACGCCACACTATTTGGTGACAAAAAGGAAAAATTGTAGGCATGTACGGCATGTTTTGAGCTTGAAAATATTTTAAATGAATGCTACAACAATAATTCGAAAGTCACAAACGTACACGGTCACCAAGAAACTTCGGTTTTTATGTTCACAATGTGCTCCATTTGTTGATGTTACTGGAAGTAACTCCAATAAGCATGGCAGATCTGAGGAACTGTGTTAGTCACATTGTACCTGTAGGAGTTCTCAAATTGATAGTCACTGCAAAAAGGTGGGCGATATTTTTCATTTCAAATATTAATACTGTACACTATTTCTCTGAACTGGTTGAGTCACTTTATTCGTGGGATTGAGTCCGAGAAGCTTTAAGTTAGTGGGAGTTAAATTATGTCATTGAAGGATTGAAGCACGCAAATAAGATGGCGGCAGCGAAGTCGAAAATACGGCACTCTTTTATTTACTGTATGAGTTGAGTGTGATAGAACTGTACGTGCTTAAAGCATGAGTTGTAAAACTAGCTGTTCAGTCAGTCAGTCAGTCAGTTTTTTCTGCAAAGAAGGAGTACAAATTAAAGATCTACATTCTTGGAAAATGAAATACTTAATGATAAGAGCAAAAAGTTTTAATTCTTTCGCAAATGGGTTCGTGAGTTATTGAGGGTGAAATTATTTCAAAGAAACGAATGACCTGAGGGGAAATTAGTTGCTTTCAGTTGTCATTAGCGTAAGATCCATGGATAGGAGTTATCAAGTTAATTCAAGTCATTAAGAGAAAAAAGCGTGTGGGTTCAAAGAGGTAATTGCGTGGTGTTATTAGTGTTTCGTTTTCAACATGTTTATATTCAATTATTTTTCTTTTATACACCCTGTCGTCTTGGCTGTATCCATTAAAACATGTCCTTTTTTGCACGTACGTCGAGTTACCTCTTTAAATACAATTTTTATTTAGTAAAATGTTCTTTCAGCATTGACCGAGTACAATGCTTCCATTAGTAAAGGGGCGTACTTGACAGAAATGGTTTACAGTGTATCCGTACATTTCCTTACGATCTGATTAGCGTGCAGAATTAAATTTTCTTTTCTTTTCAGTACCTGTTGTTTAAGAATGAACAAAAAGCATTACGCTAAGCCCTTCATAAGTTCCTGAGTCATCTATGGTTAGA